CAGCACTTATGTAGTGAGACGTTGAGTTAAAATGCAGCGTGTAGACAAACTTTTTTGCTTGTTGTTTTATGCCTTCAAATTGCTCCATTTCGGCAGCCATCTTGGAAGTACGAAGGTCGCGTATGACATATTAACATGACCCTATCTGAATGGTCCGCCTCCAGTTGATGTATATTCATGAGGTAATTTGTAAGTGATTCGTCAACGATGAGTGGTGTTTAACCCTTGTGTTTTAACGCACTGCTGTCATGTTCATCGACAGGGAAACTAAACTGGACATGCAATTATACAGCGTGTTCAAACGAAGGGTGTCATATCAGTAGTAAATGCAATTGTTCAAGTCAAATGTGGTGAATCTCGTTCATTATTTGCTGATCTTTGCTCATACTTTAACATATAGTTGCGTTGTCAATAAAGTTACAATTAGCCTTAAATTGCTTCTAGGAGATGTGGAGGGCGGGAATATTGTTTCAGAAACGGTTTGCCGATATGCATTTTGTTTTGCTGAATGAAGGCAATTATAGCACATCTATTTACTTCCAATATACTAACACAATCGATACATGGACTATAATAGAATGCAAATACCAATGTGATTGAAAAGCGAATTGAAAACCTCATTCTTCATTCTAATATTAGTACAATAATAATGCGGAGACCTCAAATATAATGAGGAGTAATTTACACATGTCTACATTTCTGTCGACGTTCATTTCTTATTTTATTTCTCTGTAATGACCGTTTCTTCAAGGCAACACGCTGGAGTTTGTACGTATTAACAAAAAGACGCCAACAGAAGCTGTCAACTTCCCTCACGTCGGAGTCAGTACATTGACTGCTAGCATGTTGCTGTCTGGTTCTGAATTTGTTCAGATCGTCCTCAAAATCGCCATCGTAAGTATTCACTTTTTTCCACAGTGTACGATTAAAGTGTTCATACAGAAGAACGTCTGCATTGCTCCATTTCCTAATAGATGATTCCATTGAAGGGGTTATTACATCGGTCGGGTTACGAACATTCACACTGTGGTATAATATATCGTCGAATTCCCAACACAGTAGTTTTCGTAACAAAATGAGCGACTCATCGAAATATTCCAATATCAAGACTAAGTCAAATTCTTTGTCCAGTAATGTGATGGCTTGTTGTACGTACGATACGTTAGCTTGTCGACGCATATCGAAGTCCGGTATCATAAACCACATCTGTCCATTCCTGTGTTGGTGGTGAATCTGTATGAAGTCGGAGTAGTGTTCGGGGTGTTCCACAAATTGTCTAAATGTAGTTTGATTGCCTAAGGATCTCGGAAAGTTGAACCAGTGAAACACCGATCTTTGTTGTGTGTACGGGGATCGCAGAATAGAGAGATATTTAGCGTTCGGTACAAGGTTTTCTAATAGAGATCTCTTATACTGTCTGTGGCTAGCGCTGTAGTCAATCGCGGTAAAGTTGGGACAGTTGTTGATTTGCTCGTGATCTTCTGCAATGGTAAGATTGTTCTTTAATCCATACCTTAATAATATGTTTGCTGTGGTGCTTCCACCTGTTTTTATGGTCTTAATAAAGATGAATTTAGACACCTGTTTGCACTGTGTGTTGGCATGGTCATACGTCATCGCATTGCTATATGTGTCCAGTAGCCAACCCTGTAATAAAGTTGAACAAAGAAATTTAGAGAAGTATACTGTAATATTTCGAAATTGACAATACTTGGCTTACTCAAACTCTTGCAATGTATGAGTTCCATGTCTAAACAATTGCGATACGAGGACTGTCCGAGCGATTGTGCCATAAGTTGCTAGAAAATATGCGTTTTTCTAAATTATATCTTATGCACGCTGGGAGACAAAATGTTACGGAGATTGAAGAGGAGATTGTTTATTACGATAAAAATAAATGAATGCACTTATGTGTACATACATTATGTTCTATAATTTTTATTAATATGTGTTAGGGAATTTGCAATACCTGTGACTTTCGATGATCCGCCGAGTCTCCGTCGCGTACAGGACGCTTCACTGTTTCAAGAGCCGCTGTAAACAAATTAAAATGGTGGTGAAGTGAAATTATGCAAATGTATGTCTTCTAGCTACAACCCACGATGAAGACTGCATTCTTATACGGCAACAGAAGACGAACACATTTCACGTGTTTTAATTGACTTACTGGCCAATGTAGTAGTAGTCGTATTGTTTATTAAAGTGACGTGTGACAATAAGAAAATATTCAATAAATACATAGCTTGAAAATAAAAATCTGTCACCAAGCCCAATGGGCTTACAAGTCACTGGAGTCATGTATATGTACTCACATATAGAGGGTGTATGCCAAATAAAGATATTGTATGTATTATTTCTTGTAAAATATAATATCAACTAATGTACTACACAAACAGGTTATCTCGTCTCTTCTGAAATGATCTTGTAATATATTTTGCTATCGCTCTAACATGGTTCACCATAAAGTAACCTATTTTTTCTATATCAGTTAACAAATTAAATTGGTTTCTGTAACTAACATATACATTGTTATATTGTAGCCAGGGACGTGCGTGGTGCTTACCTTCCGTATAGGTTATATGAAGTCCTTGATTATAATGAATAACAGCCGATACAATAATGGTTAAGAGTAAACCCGTCAGTGTACATTGTTTAAGTCGTTTGGTGGTTGCCATACTTTAATGTGAAATTCGGAGATTTTATTATGTATCTGTTATATAAGTTGTTACACATACTGTGGAAAAAAACACAATTATTATTCAATATATTGCGTTTCGTGATTCCCCAACAAATACCCCCCCCCCGCTTCCATCCCGAAAATTATACCAATGTTTTTGATAAATTAACACTTATGACAACACAATTATTATTCTATATATTGCGTTTCGTGAATCAAAATAAATACCTCCGCTTTCTTCCCAAAAAATATACCCAATGTTGTTGATAAATTAACACTTATGACAACAACATAGTGATAAGATTTAAAAACAGTCCGTTTAGCAATTATTATGAAATACCTTTTTTAAAAAATCATGCGCAAGGTGGTCAGTTGTTTCAATGTTTTGTTGTTTTCGATCCATATTTGTTCTTCAAAAGAAATTAATGCCTTGCAGAGATATATTCCCGCAACGAACGTTCACACAACCAATAAGTTGTGTGTGACATGTTGATTTCACCCCTATACGTCAATTGTCGTCGACAGAGGTCGCTATTTAAATTACAGCAACCCAAGTAAGCAAAATATCCAACTTGAAAGTGTCACATTTAAAATGCTTCAAGAATGTACCACGAATAATAGTTTTTATTCTGGTCTTCATGCTTATAAAACCAACATTTCCAGTGTACGGTGACAGAAAATTTAAGGTGAGTTGTAGTATAAAAACTGCTTTGTTCGTTTTTAAATAACTACATAAATTTGCAGAGTAACCAAACGTGCTCCACACAAAGAAGTTCGACATATCGGTTCTAAACTTTTTGGATTTCGGCATTCCCATGATTTATAGTTGGAAGGATAAAATAACCCATACAGTACGCCGTCGCATACCGCCGCTGTACTGTCTTCGTGCATACTTTGAGATATCCTCGTAATAACCTTATAGGTAAAAATCGCAAAAATAAGTTAGGAACTTATAGAATGATAAAACATATTTTTGATTTTGAAAAATTTTAAAAAATAAACATCGCACAGATCTGCTCTAATCAAGCTAGAAATCAATGCGCACACATTGCAGATTGAGACAGGAACTTCAAGATATATCAACCAAACAGCAGAAGAGTAGTTATTTTCCTTCAGGTGCATACACTTGTATCTGTATTGGATTAAGTAAAATCTACCAGTTGTTAAAACCAAGTGTCGATTGTATCACGATAATTTTGTGTTATATCAGGTAAAGATTTTGATGTAATCGGAATTATAATCTTGTACAGTCATAGCTAGATCTACACCATGCCAATGCGCTATAATTTAGTGTACATTTAGCATACTAGTATGCAAAAAAAAAATATTTGATCTACTAATCGAAATATTAAAATTGTTATGATTTGTGTACAGTAAGCGTGAACCTGTGGCTCTATGACTGTTGCTCACGTACTTGAGCCGAATTCTAGGCGACGCCTGTGCCATGCATGTGCTATCAACTTTAATATCCGCGGTATATCCGCAATGTGGCTAATTTGCTATCAAGCGCGCATTGGGAAAGGGTGGAGTAATACAATGCAAATTCATTTTTCATACTTTAACACTTAGTTATAATAACACAATCGCGGAAGTTGTATTTCTGATGCTTAGTAAAATATAATTCTGGAAATCTAACGACTCATTCGAACGTGTTTGCTCAAAAAGGTTTTTCCATTTATTTTTAGTTATTAATTTGATTTTTTTAGAATCATCTGCCTTACACGACTAGCTCAGTAAAAAATTACACTGCCCTCACAGAACGAGCCAACTTTTTACTTTGTTTCCCATAATTCTTAGTTGAAAAAAACATGGCGTCATTGTTTTGACACATAGCGCGTACCCATTGTCGTTTGAACTGAAAAATAGGTCTTTCAGTAAGGCTTTACTAAAATCCGCCAGCCTATTTGCAGTGATCTTAACATCAAGGCTACGAGAATCGAACTCGATTTGTAAAAATATCTAAAGGTGTGCGTCTAGTATCATGTCCAGCCGCCAAAGTGTAAAACGGCGACGAACGTCGGATTACGAGGACGCCGATTTTTTAACGGAGAAGAAATCAACGAAACGATCAAAAAGAACTACGGAATCTGCCAGTACTAGTAAGTAACAGCGTCAACCTGTGAATGTGCGTCATTAGTATCCGCCTGGCAAGTATCTGTGATTGGTGTGAGGTCATCTGCAGCTAGCCTTATTTATATTCGAACTGTGCCGGGGGGTGGGGGGTGGTGGCTGTCAGTGGGTATTTGAGACTGGCTTTGTACACATATAAGGGTTGAGGCAGTCTTTTTGAGGTGCGTGGAGTAAAACTAAAGATCGTGATTGTGGAAAAAAAATATAACAGCACAAACAATCTGCAGAAGTATGTAGATTCTAAGAGAATTGGGTTGTCCCTTACTGATGTTAATATATATATATCCACCCCAGTGTCAGTAATGGTCTGTCCCTTACTACGGGTATATCAGGTGTTGTTTGCATGTACAATGAGCCCAAAGTACTGACTTGACATGCAACAGAAATAATTAACTACAAAATAACAAAAAACGCTATTGTCAACTAGTAGTGGAGTTCGTATATTGGTTCTCTTTATATTTCATATTACCATGCCAACTTACATTGCAGTGTGGTCTCTCAGTAAACAAATAAATGCTGGTGGTTGGCGTGATGACATGCTCACAAGATGGTAATTTCATTAAATGCATATAACTTTCTAGTTTATTCATCCCACTCAGTTTTGTAAGATTTATTGCAGATTGCTGGTAACAATGCATGATCACCATTTCAACTACCGGGTAGGTTAATGGTGACAGGGTCATCTGCTCGTGTTCGTGAGACAAGGGCAGGTCAATGTTCTGATCGTTTCAGTTTATAGGTGTATGACTGTACACTGAAAACATAATTTAAATTTTATGAGTTATTTTTGATCTCAAATTAACGCCATGCCTTACATGCATGGTAGTACAGGGGTCAACCATTTAGAAACTTTAGAGGAGATTATGACAGTTATGAAGAAACAAATTTTACATCTAAAATTGCACACAAAAAACACAAAATTTACAGCAATACTACAGAGCAAAAAATATGTATTTTACATATAAGTGAGTTGCATATACAGCTTCATTAATTAAAAAACCAGAATCAGATTCATTACTGTAGAATACTTTATTTTTGCTTGGAATTAATTTTCGCTATTTTCGCTGAAGGAATAGTTCAGTGAAAATAAAATCCAGCGAATATACCTTTTTTCCTATATTTTACATTCAACTCGTCAAAAATCAGTGAAAATAAATTCCATACAAAACACCGCAAAACTCTTTACGGCGAAAATTAATTTCAGCTAAAATAAAGTATTTTACAGTAATTAGTTTAATCAGTGTGTCTATTATATTCATTTCTAGGCAAAAGTAGTATGTCACCTGATTCTGGAGATGACACTGGAGACTGGTCCTCATATGAACAAACTCTAAACAGGCCAACAAGGGTACGGAAGAAATCGGCAAAGCTGCTGGAAGCTGAGAACATTGATCATGATTTTGAAAAATGGAAAAGCTCAGTTGCCAGTAGTTTTCCCAGCACTGATGTATATGCAGAAATTGATGAAAGATCAAGCAGTAAAAAAGACAGTAGGTATAAATATTCAGAAGCCAAAATTCCTGATGTTAAAATAACATTGGGGAAAGATAGAGATGATAAAGGAAGCAAGAAATCAAAGGATAAAAAAAAGAGAAGTGACATTGAAGAGAGTTCGTTTTTGGAAATGGATTTTGAGGCTAGGCATAAGTCCAAGAAAAGTAAGAAGAGTTTGCCAGCTCCGATTCCTTCTATTTCTGAAACAAGTTTCACGAGCAAAGAGAAGGAAAGTGGGATTAAGTTAAAGCTGATATTGTCGCCAAAAGAGAAAGAAAAAGCCGAAGCCATTTATGAGATTAGTTCTCCTGAAGCGGATTTGCCAACAAGTTTGGAGAAGAGAAAAAAGAAAAAGAAAGAAAAAATGCAAGCGAGAGCAAAGCTGATTTTTGAGGAAGATTTTGATGTGCCGGAGAGTAAAAAGAAGAAGAACAAAAAAAAGAAACGGAGCAGCGATGAGAGAGAGATTGCAGAGTTGACTGCAGAAATTGTTTCTGATGCTGGTACGAAAGAAAAACTGTTAAAGAAAAAGAAAAAAAAATCACACTCTGGGCAAGCCTCAAATGGTTTCACTGAGCCAGATGTGTTGCTTGAGTCCGAGCTTATAATTGATGAGAAACCCACTAAAGAGAAGAAGAAGAAACAGAAGAAAGAGAAAAAAGAAAAGGAGAAAAAAAAATCCAAAGACAAAAGCAAGGACAAAGTAAAAATTAAACTCAAACTTAATGAGAAAAATGATGATATGTTTGGTATTGATAGTGAAAGTCACTTTGAGATGGCACAATCTACGATGCCAAGTAGTGAACTGTTTCCTATGGGATTAAAACCGCTCAGTGGAGATGACGACACTTTGCAACATTTGAAACAGCCGAGTACTGCCAAAAAGACCAGTAAACCACTAAAACCTAAGAAAGACAAAAAGGGGAAAAAACTGAAAGGTGACAAGAAAAAAGATAAAAAGGAGAAAAAAGAAAAGGTATGTTATATTAAGTGACAGTGTATGAGAGCATAAAATACTTGCTTGGTTCCCAGTCTTTGCCAAGATAATGAAATTTTCAAGATGCTCAGTCTCAGTCTGTTTTGCCAGTTGTTTTCCCTCACCTGATTTAAAGTTATTGTGAGTCAGTAGGAGTGTATTGCATTTTAAACTCTGTTTACTTATTTCTCAGCAATCTCTACAGAATTCTGAAAAATCATTAACAATTTAAGAATCTCAAATGAGGATCATAATAATCCAATTGCACCAGAAAAATTATTTGACTTTCAAAATGACATAATAAATGAAACTAACATCCTAGAAAATAAAGAAAATCTGAACAAAACATTAAGTAAGTGAAAAAGAAATAAAGTTAACAATTAAAGAACTGTGTGGTTCAGATTACTTGATTAAACCACGATGTAAATTATTTGATTTGATTTGATTGTAAATACAGGAGAATATCCTGATATTTGGAATATTAGTGTTATTAGTCATATCTATAAAAAAAAAGGTGATAGGACTGAGCTAGGGAACTACAGAGACATTTCTGTATTTAGCTGCATTGGCAAATCCTTCTGTATAATCATAAATAATAGACTCAACTATTTCACAGAGGAAAATAATATTATTTCCAATATTATTGTTCATAAGTATCTTAAACAAAATGGAAAACTCTTCACCTGCTTTGTAGACTTCCAAAGAAGCCTTTGATATGGTATGGGGACAGGGATTGTTCTATAAACAGCTCAAACATGGGATTAATCGAAATCTATATAAAATTATAAAAACATGTACCTTAATCATCATGTACCGAGGTATAATTTTTTGTCCTAAGGGATGAATCTACTGATCCTGTTAAACTAAATAGCAACAAATGTCTATTCCATTTTTTATGCAGATGATCTGGTCCTGATATTAACAACAAATAGCGGTCTACAAAAGTCTCTGAATGATTTTGAATGATTACTCCACAAAATGACAAATTAATTTAAAAAAAAAAAAAAATAAGTTTCAATTAAATATTGTTAAAGACTAGTTACACATTTTCTACTTAGAAGGTTAAAATAATACTTGCATCAATTCACAGACATGTACATATCTGAGGGTAACAATACATGCAAATAGTGAATTCAACGAAGCACGTAAAAATATGGCAGATAAAGCACTCAGAACTTTAATGGAGAAGTGGCAAAATAGTAATTTTTGTTTGTTTTTTCTGGTACTCTTTATTCCTTTACATCTCAAAATGTCATCAGCTGAATAATTTTAATAATTGTGATATAAAAATATAAAAAAAATATTAATTTAATTCATTAAGTTTTCCAATATTTTTAGCTCCGCTGTCGACTTTGTCGAGCGGAGCTTATCATATGAGTGATTGTCCGTCGTCGTCGTCCGTGTCAATGTTTTACTTTTTCGACTTCTTCTTGAAAACTACAAGCCTGAATGCTTTGATACTTGGTGTATATGTACCTTGGGTAGACCTCTCTTAGGTTTGTTCATTTCATGTTGATATCTTCAATTCTCTAATTTTGGTGAATATTTTTGTCATTTTTGGTAAAAAGTGATATTTTCGACTTCTTGTTAAAAACCGCAAGTCCAATTGCTTTGATATTACATATATAGGTACTACATGTGAACCTCTCTCAGATTTGTTCATTTTGTAATGATATCTTTAATTCTCTAATTTTGGTGAATATTTTTATCATTTTTGGTAAAAAGTGATATTTTCG